CTCCTCCTTCCTTGTTTTCCTTCTTCATTTCTCCTTCCTTCCCCCCTTCTTCCTTCCTTCTCACTCTCCTCCTTCCTTGTTTTCCTTCTTCATTTCTCCTTCCTTCCCTCCCTCTTTCCTTCCTTCTCACTCTCCTTCTTCCTTGTTTTCCTTCTTCATTTCTCCTTCCTTCCCTCCCTCTTTCCTTCCTTCTCACTCTCCTTCTTCCTTGTTTTCCTTCTTCATTTCTCCTTCCTTCCCTCCCTCTTTCCTTCCTTCTCACTCTCCTTCTTCCTTGTTTTCCTTCTTCATTTCTCCTTCCTTCCCTCCCTCTTTCCTTCCTTCTCACTCTCCTCCTTCCTTGTTTTCCTTCTTCAGTTCTCCTTCCTTCCTTCCTTCCTTCCTTCCTTCTCACTCTCCTCCCTCCTTGTTTGCCTTCCCTCATTTCTCCTCCCTCCCTCCCTCCCTCCCTCCCTTCCTTCCTTCCAACTTCCATGTCTTTTTCTCGATGCCTATTTTTAAAAAAAGTGTCCTTGAAATAATGAAATAATGTCAAACAAGCAGGTCTGGGAAAAAGAAAAACTGACGGTTCTCCATGAAAGCAGCCACGTTCTGCAAAGTCTCAGAATCCCTCTTGGCTCTTAAGCGAAACGCCCTAGGATTCTACTGAGGCTTGCGAGATAGGTGACAAAACCCGGAAATTTTCCCCCCAGCCCAACCTAACTTTGGAAGGGAGTTCTTTTGGGATTTCTAAGTCCAAGGTCTAAAACTCTCCAGATCAGACTCTTCTGTAGCTTCCAAGGCTTCTGGAATCGATGAAGACCTTTGAGCGCTGGGTACGAGCTGTGGCTGTGGCTTAATTCCCGCGCCTCGCCCCCTCATTCTTGGCTCTTCCCTTCCCTTCCCTGTCTTTCTTTAGCTACCATTAACTTGAATTCCTTGAATGACGGATGGTATGGAGCCCTCAAGGAAGCGATTCAACAGCAACAAAATCAGCTCGTTTGGGTGTCGGAAGGAAAGGTATGGAGATCTTCCCCGTTTGCCTGGTTTAAGTTGGTTGGGAAAGATTTGAAGGCAGCCATGTCTGAAATCAGAGTGGGCCAATTGAAGAAGAACTAACTAGGAAGTAGATACCCCAAATCCTGGGATTTGAGATGAGGGACATAGAGACTCGGTTGACCTTTATGCTCGGAAAGCTTTGGTTGAACCCTCTTGAGACTTGCATGCTTGATAGACAAGGTTTTGGGGAAATACGAGCATCTGCTCTGGTGGGCCGTCTGGATGGTAGACCTCCTGCCCCTCGTGAGGGAGTTGGATGGAAGAAGAAGCAGCTGAAAATATCTCTGATTTTCTGCTGCTGGACCCAATTGAGGAGGCTATCAGCTGCTGGTAGGAAAAGGTGGTAGGAAGCATGAGCCCAGCCAAGCTTAAACTCAACCATGTTGATGATAGCGGTGGTTCTCCAGGTTTAGATAAAGAGATTTCTCCATCTTAGAAGAGACTATTTGTAACTCAGGGTTGAGTTGTGGCCTCCTTGGTGTCCCCTCTGAGCTTTCTCTGCCTTATTTCAAGAGATGGTCTGGAGGAAACCCAAGGCCCTTTCGAAGTTGACTCTTGCGCAACTTCCCAAGGAGAGGTGCGGTTAGGTCCTCTCCTTTGCCGTTGAGGCCAGTGCGATTCCACCAGTTCTCCATTCAACCGTCCAACTCTGATGTGTCTAAAACAGGCAGATGGTACTACAAGTGATGACCTTGATCTACATGATGACCGGCTCTCCTACCTGTCGGCTCCAGGTAGCGAGTACTCCATGTACAGCACCGACAGCCGGCACACCTCCGACTACGAGGACACGGATACGGAAGGTGGAGCCTACACAGACCAAGAGCTGGACGAGACACTCAACGACGAGGTTGGGACGCCCCCGGAATCCGCCATTACGCGCTCCTCTGAACCCGTGAGGGAAGAAGCGCCGGGGGTCCATCCAGAGAGCCAAACCTTTCCTCCATACGGGTCCCAAGGCCAGGCACAGCCAAACCACAGGATTGATTCTCCGGGTTTTAAAAACAATACTGCTCAACCGGTAAGAAATGTTAGCAGAACGCAAGGCCAGCAAACGTCTCCAGGTCCCACCAGCCCAGGACCACGAATGGACACCCTTGGGTTGTTTTAAACACGTCAATCCCTCTTTAGTCTCTCAAAAGCATCCGTGGTGTACCAGCACTTTCAATTGTTTTGTCGATTTTTCAGTTTCAGTCTTTACTAAGTCATCTCCCATGTTCTCCTCCTGACCTTGGTGGTGTTTTCGTAGTTACGACCGACCCAGATCCAAAGTTTTAATGGGTTCCTCTCCACCTCCCCCACATGACAACACCCCAGCAACACAACTGTATTTGGGCCAGTTTCCGAAGTGAGGCGTGGGAGGAGTCACACATTGGTATTAACACAGCCCTTTTGCCCTGGAGACTCCTGTTTTATGACGGTTTTTGGCACTCCTAGCAAATCGTTGGCCCTTGTGGGGAAATGGGAGGGGAGATTCAGGTCAACGTCAGGGTTCCAAATAGCATCCAAAATTAAATCAGAGTCCGAGGCAAAGGATTCCTCAAAGTTCCAATTTATTAAGAGAGACATGTTGGCACATCTGGGAAAACCCG